GTCCAAGTCGTAGTATTCAGGAAGGCCACCCGTCGCCTGAGCGCTGCAGCTGCGAGATGGAACTTCTACGTTCTCCAACGTTGGAGGGACGACGAGCCGCGTCTAAACATGGTAAGGTCTTGTCTTTAGCTTGTCGAAGATCCAAGTATAGAAACTCGCCAGTATACAGGGGTCTTGACTCCCGTTCTGGCCGACTTACGGCACCGCTTCGCGTCACAGGCAAATGGCGCGTCTCTCATGCCGCGTAAAAATACCATCGTCGGCCACTAGTGTAGCTCTGGCGGGCGCTTTGCTTCTGTATCACCTATAAAAGCTCTCTCAAAGCTTTGAGTTTCGGTACGAGCTTCCCCAAGTTCTATCTTCTCATCGATCTCAGCCAACATGCAATTCTCTTCTCTCTTCACCTCCTTCGTCGTCTTCGCCGCCGCTACCAACGCCGTCATGGCCGAGTCGCACACCGTCCAGTTTGTGAACAAGTGATTGTTCTTTCTTTATTCGTTGGTTTAGACGAGGTGCTAAACGACATCCTGTTGCTTTCAGGTGCGGAAGAGGGACCCCAAAGCTCATCCAAGCAGGAAGGACCCTCTCCAGCGGGGGAACCTACACGTCTAATGGTCCTTTGACTGCTGCAATTGCGTACCTCAACACCGGCCCCTGTCTTCTCAACGGAGGTACGTTTCATCTGGCTTGCCAACGACAAATGGGTTCTAATGCAGCTTCATTCCAGAAAATTGTATGATTGTCGAGGTCTGTTTGGATGGGACAAATGAATGTTTAAGGCATACTGAAACTAAACTATTCCTTTGTTTTTGCTTCCGTAGACGACCTTGAGGAACCCAACATCGCCCGGATCTGGATCCAGTACTGACTTATCGTTGATTCCTCCGTAAGCTTGAAGCTTCCTTATCATGTCTATACAGAAGATCATCACCGTCTCTTTTCATCCACATTCTCCCAGCCATAAGTTCAACGTCCCCATCAACTTCCACTACACCAACGGATGCTCCAATGGCGCCACTTGTATGTCTGCTCCTCTCGTGCCTTTTCGCCATCGCTGACCTCCCTCCTTGATAAGGCTCTAATGCTAATTGCCCCCCTTCGGATGCATTCCACAAGACCGATGACTACCAGGCCCAGCGTGCCTGCCAGGCTAACAATGTACGTCGCTTCCCACTTCTTCGTATCTCCAACAATCTGACTTCCGCCACTCACAGGCCGGATTGGTGATCACCTTCTGTCCTTGAATGTATTCATCGTCGATAAGATAATTTCTACAAACATCATAAATAACCCATATGTTTTTGATACATTGCTCGAATTGTATATTACCGATTGATCGCTCGCTCCACTCAACACACGGTTGGAACTCGTCCAACGTCATCACCTTGGCTCACTCGAATACCAACGTCCGCCAGAAGATGTAGCGTTACATTGACCTAGACCCCATTATCTTAGATCACTTCCCATGACATCTTTGGGTAGGCCACATTCATTGTTAGGTCACTAAACAAACGGCAAGGCGAAGAGTGGTTTGGCAAGACGCTCATTCTAATCGCGTCAAAACAAACGGATCTGGGAACGAGAGCGCCATTTTGAATATCCCGGGTGGGTTACGAATGACTGGTAAAAGATGCGGCCCAGAACTGAGGAGCCACAGTGGTAGCAGACCCGCGACGAGGGTCGATTGAGGCGTAGATAGTGACGTGAGTACGCTACCAGTTCGTCCCAACGAGTCTGTGCTGAGCAATTCATGGTTCTACTAGTATGCAAACTGAACGATCCTCCCAAGGGCTAAGCCAGGCTCAAACACGTTCTCCAGACAGCTTTGAAAGTTGGCGAGACGCTGGCCTCGAGAAGCTGGCTCCTAATGTTAGAAGACCTTCTCGCTGAAGGTACTCGAAGAGGCCATCCGATTACCGTACCCCACTTTACCAACCCTCAAATGACAGGTGAAGAGGTACGGTAAATCTCATCGAACTACCTGTGGTTCTGGGTCCTGTCAAACAAATCGTCGGTTCATATGTCTACTCATTGGATTGCCATGTAATGCTTGAAGTTGCTCGAGAAAAGGACGTGGAGTCGCCGAGAAGAAACCCATGCGAACCTTGTATATAGGGTTTGAATACACTCTTTTGCGTGCGTTAAGTTCTTTTTTCTTCTGAATCGTGGGATAGATATATGGTGACCCATGAGGCCTTGAGACATGACTAGAATCGAGTCTCGATATTGAGCGGACAAAAACAACGTTCTATAAGGTTCCGAAGAACAAAAAAAATTATATGGTATCGGCATTTGCCGCATGGCCAAATCTGGCTTCGCTTATTCGCATGACGCACGTTGTCTTCTTACCGTTTCGAAGCCTTGAGTCAAGGTGTTGCCGCTCAACTCTCAGCGTAAGTTCCTTCTTTCTTTCTCTTCCTCTCTATATCACCGTTGACGGGTTTTTCCATTCAGATGTTCTCAGATTATCGAGCCCGTGCGGCGTGGGGAAGCGCCGTGAAGACGTTTGGATGACGTTTGATTGGAATGCTTACTAGCAGGTTTGGAAGATGTTTGAGGCTTTGAGCAGGAATTACAAGCGGGTGAGTCCCAAAGGAGATCTGTCGAAATCTCAAAGCTCTTACCAATGGACTTTACTTGTCCCAGTTGCCTCTTTGGAAGCACGTCGATTGGTTGGAAGTGCTACTCTCTGAAGCTCTTCGACAGTGAAATCCACATACTCGAATCTCGATCCGGCCTTCGGGCACCCTCATCAATCAGTGATGCAATCCTGTACAGCACCCAAACGACCTCGAACGACCTCGTTCTATGTCACTTTGAGTCCTCACTGCTCCGTTGAGGGACCGAGAACGAAGAGTTCCGATACGTCTGGCAGAGCCAATAGCAGCTATTACCATTGGACCCTCGGCTTATCGTAGCTCGTCTTTGGTGGCGAGTGCTGCATATCGTGCAAATACGGTGGGCCCATGGGTCGCGGTCAGGGTCCAACAAGCTGAAATTTCCAAATGCCATTGCCGACCATTACCTCAACGGGAGTTCCATCACCCTGTACAGCATTGACGGTTTATAACGAGGCCGAGCTCCCTTTCTTTCCTTCCTTCCTTCAGGTCGCGAGCACGGTACTCGTCCTATCCCCTTTGTCAACGCCTCCTCTTTTCCTTCTCGAGTCGTCCTTTTTGTTGTTTTTTTCCTTTGGTTTTACATTTGATCTTCTCTCGACGACTTAGTCCTTACACTTACGCTCTTTTCAACTTTTTTTTTCATACTTTCTCGTTGTGTGCACCAGCCTACCAGAATCTGAGATTCTACGGTTTGAGATCAATATGCGCCCAGCTAAATTCGTAAGTCTATACTCCTTTCTATCCTATACTCGCTTCACTCATCACACCGTCGTTCCAGGTGTTCTTCGCCCTATCTACTTTGCCTTTCTTATCTATATCAGCACTACCCACAGGCACCGAGAACTCCATTACACACATCACACATGACGAGGAGACCGACACGATTCATGCCTACAGACGAGACGGCTCGCAGGTCGATACTTTCCCCGCTTCCAAGTTCGAAGAGAATCTCCCAACTACACCGCCAATTTTCCACGAGACCGAGATCGAAGGAAGAGAACTCGACGAAGGCCGCGATGAAGATAACGAACTGGAGGCCCGGGATATCGACGAAGACGATTTCGCTCATGGAGACGAGGGTAATGCGGATGAATATGAGGTCGATAGATCCGGATTAGAGAGACGTCAGGGCGCAGGCTCCTGCAGCCCCGTTACGATTGAGGAGCTCAGGCAGCGTGCGTTACTCCTCTCCGCTCTTATCCGACTGGTACTGATGCTTCCCATGCCCATCCTCATAGTTCCCGACTTCAAGAGAATTGAAGAGCATGCAGACAAGGAGTTTGGGACTGGAAAGCGTAACGTGATCGTCAATCCGAAGGAGGTGCGTGTCCTCCTACTTGTTTGATCTCCGAGGTTCTTATCTCCATTGTTTCTCCTACAGTTTCCCGACCGTAATGCAAAGGCCTGTGTAGTCGGGGATGTCGTCTTCAAGTACGAAGGTGCGGATAACCTTGCATTTGTCTCTAATTCCTAACTCACGAGCGAACTCACCACAGGGGAACCTAAGTGTCAAACCCAGAAATCTGAAAGCAGCGGTCAACTTGTCGGAACTAGCGGAAAAGTGTCGATCAAGACGATCCAAGGGTTCAAAAGCAAGGCTTCCTTCACGACTACTCGTGAGTTCTCGCCGTTACATTTCATGCAACCTGCTCAACACGCCTACGTACTTTAGAATCCTCTAGACTGGCAGTAGATTCTCGTGTTTCAGCATCGGCCGGCTTCGGAAAACTAGCTGGCGTCTCAGCTGAATTCAGCGTCAGCTCCGAGTTCTTCAATTCCAACACGAAGGTGTAAGTAGCCTTCTGCATCTATCGAGTCTCGTCGCGACTTACGTTGACTCTCCTCAGCACCGAATCCGATACTGACAACCAGAACGAGATTAGCATCGACATGCAGGCCAAAGCCGGTAAACAATGCACGATATCCACCACCGTCAAATCGTGTCAAATACAGGCGAAGGGTGCTCTCAAACTTCGGGCTACGGGCTGGGTATGGTTCAACTATGAGGATAAGAAGAAGGGCCATTTCAAATGTACGTTTAACTTGTTTCTCACGATACCAAAGTGAACGCTCATACCAATCCTGTTCTTTTCTTTTCTTTGACACTAGGGGCAGTCAATATGGATAATGTCCTCAACAATGACCAACGAACATCGCCGATGGAGATTGCCGGCGATGTGAGGTCAGAGACCAAGTCAGCTTTTGCTGGGGAGTGTACCTAGAGGGAAACGAGAAGGATAGCGTTTTAGTAGTTGACAGGACACGTTTTTCTTGGAATACATACCTCAACAAGGACTACATATACGCACCGATCATCAGCTTCGCCTATAACTAGTACTTCCCTCGAGCCATGAAAGAATCGACCTGACAAATAATATCGCCCGCCTAGCTCAATCGGATAGAGCGTCAGACTCTTAGAAGAGCCGGCATTGGGCATCTGAAGGCTGCGAGTTCGACCCTCGCGGTGGGCTATATCATTCTCATATTTTGCCACACGGTCCTGAAGTTTCGGATTACCTACGTAACTTATTTACCTCCAGCCTTCCTACGTGGGTGAAGTAAACGTGGAGCTGGATGAGAGAAGGGAAGAACGAAAGTATGTCGTCGACAGTATCCATAATGAATTCAAGTGCAGTTAGATGGAGTCACCAGGCCGTCGAAGAGACCAGGGGGATACAGTCCGTTTCCATAGTGGGTTGGAAGCGGCTGAGAAGCAGACTCAGCGATTTGAATACCATATGAGAAAGTGACTTCTCGCAAATGGGAGAGGTTTGAACGATTGAGGGTGTCGATGAGTTCGGTGAGCCAAGGTTCGTAAGGTGGGAAACAAAACGACAGAGATTCAATAGTTTCATCCGCGTGAAAGGATAGCTTTAACCCATTCCACACCTCTCCGAGCTCGCATCATGGGTGCGTGTATGGCTCGGAGTCGGCCCAAGTAAGTGGCCAGCAGTGAAAGAAGTGGTTCAATCTCTTTGAATATGCCGTATGGCGCAATCTCCATTTTTAGCACGAGACCGCTTGAGGTGTAAGGATAGGGCCTTCGTATACTTGTTGAACCCGTGGCCGAGGTAATAACAACGTCAGACCACAATTTTGGTGTAGCGAGGGTGATAGAGCGCCAGAGACAGCAAACTCTACCTAGAACAATCGGCTTTGAGAATGATAACGCACGAGCCCCAAGTCTCGTAGATGGTCGGTTGGTTAGAACTCGAAAATCAGGATGAGGAGCTCGGTGGGCAGG